CAAAGAATATGACCCTCACAGTGCTGTCTACTTTGCTGCAGATCTTCTACAAGTCTGTTCTTGAGAGTGTAATCTCTTCAGCCATCGTCTGTTGGGGTAGCAGCATCAGAAGCAGGGACCTGAAAAGGCTCAACAGCCTAATAAAAAAGGCTGGTTCTGTTCTGGGGACGACTGTGGAACCACTGGAGGAGATCATGCAAAGAAGGATTCTCCAGAGAATCAAGAAAATGATGGACAACCCTGAGCATTCTCTTCACAAGACTGTCCGACAACGGAAGAGTGTCTTCAGTCAGAGGCTTCTTCAGTTTCGCTGCAACACTAACCGCTACTGGAGATCCTTCCTGCCAACAGCCATTGTAATATACAACAACCCTTTGACGACTTATTATTATCCTGAGCTACTACAGCAATCAATTTCCCTCTGGGATTAATAAAGTATTTTTGAATTGAATTGAATTGTATTGAATTTAAACCACGTCCCCAGATCAGCCAGCTGATGAATGACATGACAGCAGAACGTTGGATGATGCTCTGAGGAACACTGAAGCTTTCAGTTGAAACTTTTAGCAGGTATGTCTTTAAAAACGCAACTTTTGTCTTACTAAAAGAAAAGAACAATAATTAGTTTACAACAAAGACAAAATTCATTTATTTAATATAGTGTATGACATTGTATAGTGCCATCACTACCCCCGCAACGCCAATGTCAATGGACTTTTAAATACATCTGCAGTTTTGTAATGCAGATTTAGACCTGATCAGGTTCCTTTATTTAGAATGACTAATTGGGGTTAGTCCTCTTTTGTGCGATAATACTGTGTTTTTGTCCATAATCCGTTTTTTGTTCTTTTCCTACACAGTTTAGTAAGTTATTTGTTTACCTTTCGTGTTTCAGCTAGTGGCTCTAGCTGTCAGCAGAGATCGCCGGCGATGGTGGTGTCACTTCCTTTTATCCGAGGGCAGTAGAGGACGGTGTCGCCCTCTACTGCCTGCGTCCACCTTGCTGATGACACAGTCCCATGCATGATCCAATGTGAGGTAAACAAATAACTTTTAAAAAACTGTGTAAGAAAAGAACAAAAAATGGATATGGGTTTAGTCCTGCCTGGTCCTTGCTTCCGCTGGTGGGCTTGTGGTTTGGCTCTTGGGTTTTTGGTGGCTGTCTGTGAAGCTCAACATGTTATTGGTACCAAGTTTGAGGGCCACAGTAAAGTTCAACATTTATTTTTAGTTCAACGTTTTGTTGCAAATGCATACCTGAATGTATATTTCTGGCCACAAAACGGGTGTTAAAAATAACAAGCATGAAAAAAGGTAATAAATTTCATTACTTCAGACCTGGAGCTGTCCTGTTGCCATCTCTTTTATCTGCATAGAATCACATGAAAGTATCTTTCTGGAGTTTTCCCCTTTCAGAAATGATGTATGTTTTTTTTTCAGAAATCTGTAAAAGTGATTGTTTCATCATGTACTGTGATATAATGTAAGCAATGCCTCTTTTTTTTCTTTGCTAACCACGTCCCCTGCCCCGCAGCAGAGCTCCGTGCAATAGGAAACTGAGCACCAACCAGAACTAACCAATAGCGTTAGACTACAACTCACTTGCTTCAAATTTAAGGAATACCTCAGCTGATGCAGAGTTGATGAACTTTTCACGGACAAGAAAGTCTTTAAAATATAAATATATGAGAACACAACATGTCACGAGAATACTTGTAAAACAGCGTGTTTTAGCTGTTTGTCGGCTACAGATGGCAAATTATTGTTTATTAATGAATAAACAAGCTACATGAAGTCGCCATCTTAAAAACATGGAGCAAGATATTATTTGTGTTGTATGCTTGCCAGCCACTAGATGGTGTCTTTGGATAAGAGCAATACTCCGGAAAGAGACTTTAATGATTGAGCTAATAAAAATATCATTCCACCTAATCACACTTGATTTCTTGGGTGATTGGATATAACATCTTATAAGAGCCACAATACACAGCAACACTTAAAGGATGTGGGCCTTAACCAACCATCCCATTGGACTGTAGTGCTTGTCTAGATTTGAAAGTGAGAAATGTAATGGTGTGAGTTGTGACTTTCTTTGCTTTTTATTAATACAATATGAAGGTTGACATGTTCTCATATGGGATGGTGATATATGAGCTGCTGTCTGGACGAAGACCGGCACTGGGAGACCACCAGCTTCAGACAGCCAAGAAACTGTCCAAAGGGATCCGGCCTGTCTTAGGTGGTCTAGAGCAGATCCAGTTCCACAGCCTCCATACTCTGATGACTAGCTGTTGGGACACCAAACCAGAGAAGGTAAGCTTCCTGCTTCATAATCCATCTGGTGCTAGTTTATTATCCAAATGACTAGCCTAGAAACATTTAGACAGTCCAGTTTGGTTTTAGAGAATTGACTAGTGTTCCTTCTATTTAATGATGAAACAATGCTGTCCATTGTGTGGCAGTGAGGGTGGAAAATAATAAAACAAAGACTACGTCCTACTAGCAAGTTCTATACCATCTTGATAAACATTTTTATAATCTTATAAATGAGCACAAACAGTTGCATTTTGAAGGTGTCCTAGATTTACGTTTGAGCTTCTAGAAGGCATATAAAGTTTTATTTGAGCTTAAAAAGTACCAGGAACCATTAAAAATGGCCAAATAAATGATGCATAATAAGGTGAATTGTAAAATTACCTGTTTTCCCCACCTACTCCACCAATTGAGTGAGCTGCATCCCATTTTTTTATTAACATAATTATTTTTAAATATTTTTTAGTTCTCCAGCTACTGTTGCAAAATTTCACAAAGTTCTGATGGTCTCTGCTGATGCCAACATAATCTAAAGTCAGGCTGCTTATTCAGAAAGCTGCACTGCAGGTTGATGAGTGAACATCCAGGTTTTGAGTTAAAAAAATTCAGGTTAAGAGCCATTTTAAAGTTGCAGTGTGTAGTTACAAGTAAATAGAGGGTAGTACAGACACACTCTTCAGGGTAGTTTTACACCCCATCTTCCCGACTGTCGCTAGTTAAAAAAAACTTTTCAGTAAGTGTTACCTGTGGAGCAGAAAGAATGCAGCCTAGGTGTGACTCCTCAGACTTTGATGCTTCTTCAGGTAATTCCATAAGAGAATGCAAAGCCAATTGTAGTTTTCAGGTGCTGTACTTTCTGGATCTGCTTGGGGGCTTGTGATCACGGCAATATCGCCCGGCCAAATTATATTGTGTCTTTTTCAAATCTGTTCTTTCTTGTATGTTTTGGAAAGAGTTTAGCTGTTTTGTTATTAAATTCATGTTTCTTATTGCCTAAATGTTTTTGAACGAAGAAAAGTTATATCCAAAAGTTGTATGTTCAGCCAGTGATCTGGTGTGAGGTCATCGACAGGCTCAGGACCCCAAGCTGGCCAGAAGGAAACATGGCATCCCCCAAAGAGGCTAGACCTGCACCTTATGTACTTTAGACCTGATTTTTATGGTTATATGGTAAGAAGCAGCCAATATTTTTCAACAACTGGACATCATTTTATTTATTTTCAACAACTTTTTGATGGATATTTCCAGAGACTAAAGGTAAAAACTTCTGATTGTCTCTTTAAAGGGAGACTTTGCAGTATTGGCTTGCCTTTAGCACCCCCTTGTGCCTATTAGTGAAACCAAAAGTAAAACTCCTCTCCTTGTTGTGTGTTCGTCTTTTTAACACCTTGATCGAATTACTGAAATATCTCCTCAAACTTCATTAGTCTCTATTAGAGCCCTGCACAGGCCTAAAATCTGAGCCCGTGGCCGGCCCGGCCCGAGGGGGTGGAGCCCCAGCCCGACCCGGCCTGAAAAGGTTTTCAGGATTCTCTGGCCCGACCCGAGCCAGACTTTTATTTTAACCAACAAAATGAAAACAAAGTGCATCAATCCTGACCAATGTGTTAAAAGACGTGCAGGATCTGATCAATTTGTTTTTCCCTCATTTACCGTCACGGAGATAACGGCGCACTGGCTCTGGTGGTAATCAAGTTAAATTTTATCTCTTTCCAACAATTTTCACAAGAAAACAAAACAGTCTAAACCAGGGCTTGTGTTCACCGGATAGTTCCCGTATTTGACCGTTTATTTTGTTGGAGAAAGAATAGAAAGAATTACCCCGACGCATGCAGACGAACTGCCATTTTATTCGTTACACACATCGCAGATGTAGCTAAATCACTCAAGAAAAGATTCCCATCTGAACATCTGAGCTGCTCAGCACACTGTCAGCGCATATGTGCACAGCGAGCTGAAGTTGTGCAGATTGGCTTGGAGTGCGTCGCAGAACCAGAGCGCATGCGGGAAGATTCCACCCACTGAAGCGAGTGTTTTCCAAACCCTGTCGCTCAGAGAGACTTGTCACTTAGAAAATGTTCCCTGATGATGAAACTTTGTCTGAATAGTGCTTGTTCCTGTCTCCAATGTGGCGACACATCCAGGAGGAGAATCTCACATCCTCTTCAGCTCAGAAAGCGCCTATGATTACGCACAAGCGTGACGCGTCAACCCGGTCTCACAGTAAGACCGGGTTGGACCTGTTCAGGTTTACACAGACAATCTTTACATAGAATTGACTTACAGATATAAAATTAATTCAGTAAAATAAAGCATTTTATTTAAATATCCATTCATTATTTTACAAGCACAGAGAGCCGCATCAGATGGATGGAAGAGCCGCGGGTTGTGACATGTTTTCTCCAGGACCAGAGAGGATGCAAACTCAATACATCTCTTTTATTGTGAGGTAATAATTTCTCCGAGTTTTGCGGTTGCGGGCGGGAGTAGGCATGCACGCTACGGGCGCGGGTGGGAGTGTAACACACACGTTGCAGTTGCAGGCGGTAATTGTCAGAAATTCAGCGGGAGCGGGCAGGAGCGGGATGAAGAAAACAGTCCAGCGCTACTGCTGCGTTTGTGTTTCAGTTTTTTATGAATTCGATTAAAAATAAAGGCGCCCGGCCCATGTCACAGTTGTTGGCCCGAAGCACAGCCCGAGGGCCGTCGGGCCGGGCCGACCCGAGGGCCTAGGGCTTCAATGCAGGGCTCTAGTCTCTATAGGAGCGATTCATCACTAAATCAAAGAAATCAGCTGTATTTTCTATCTAAACCATGCTGAAAGCAGACTCCAGCGCCAGGCATGTCATCTCCACTTTATTAAGTCCAACAGGGACCGGACCGGCATTCTGAAATTGTGAGGAGGCAAATTTAAATTTTTTAAAATAAGTCAACTAATTTCAAATGTTGTTTTTTTTTAGATCCAAAGAAGTTATCTATGGTTGGTTAGTTGCTTAGTAGTTGCAGCTTCTGTGGCTAGCGGGTAGTAACTCACTTATATATTTAATTTAACACATATTTACACGATTTTAAAAGTAAAAGGCTCGTTATAAATTTATATTGAAACTAATACGAATAAAATGACCGCCGTGGAAGCCGCGGTCACATTATGCAAGTCTGTTCCATTTAACCGTTTTCTTTGACCAAGGAAGGACAGTGTCCTTGTAATCAAGGTGCTTGGCCTCGCAAGACATCGCCTTTCAAGGCCAGGCGCTTTGACATTGAGAAACACCCAGAGTGTTTGGTGTGAGAAGCAAGCTGACCAAGAGAGTCTCTGACTTTGGGAACCAGCTTGTCTGGAGCACGGATGAGGATCTCAGTCTTATCTCCATTCAGCTGAAGAAAGCTCCCAGCCATCCAGGTTTTGATAGAGTCTAAGCAGGTGTGTAACAGCTGCAGCTTAGACATCTCATGGGGCTTAAAGGAGATGTACAGTTGGATGTTATCTGCATAAAGATGGTAGGAAATTCCTTTGAAGGAGCTCAGGATGTGCTCAAAAGGAAGGAGATAGAGGAGGAAGAGCAGAGGCCCCAGCACAGAACCTTGTGGGACACCATGGGTAAGGGAGGTGGTGGAGGACCTAAACTTGGAGACGGCCACAGAAAAGGAACACTCAGAAAGATAAGAGGAGAACCACTCCAGAGCAGTTCCTGATAGGCCTACCCAGTCTCTAAGCCTCTCCAGTAGCAGGTGATGGTCAACAGTGTTAAAGGCTGCAGTCAGGTCCAGCAGGACCAGAACAGAACAGTCCCCTGCATCACTGTGAGTCAGAAGGTCATTAGAGACCCTAAGAAGAGCTGTTTCAGTAGAATGAGCTCTACGAAAACCTGACTGGAACCTATCATACGTTGATGCTGTGTTCATCAAGAGCAGCTGTGAGTTGTTTAGCCACAACCTTTTCCAAGATCTTGGAGATGAACGGAAGTCTAGAGATGGGTCTGAAGCTGCTATGAAGAGAGGGGTCGAGACTTGTTTTTTTAAGAAGTGGGTGGATTACAGCGTTCTTAAAGTAAGCAGGGACCTGACCAGAAACCAGGGAAGCATTAATTATAGAGAGCACGCTGGGACCGATGGACTGAAAGCACTTTTAAACAAAGATGAGGGTAAGATGTCGAGGGGGCATGCAGAGGTCTTCATAGAGTTAACTAGTTTGGTTAACTCAGGCAAAGAAACAGGAGCAAAGCTATCTAGGATGATGGTTCTGGTTGGAGTCGGGAGAGGCAGCGATAAGGCTGAAAGAGAGATGCTAGATCTAACCTTATTGACTTTGTCCACAAAGAAAGACAGAAAGTTCTCACAGTCTGTAACAGAGTGGATGGAGGCTGTAGGAGAGGCAGGAGAGACGATGCTGCTGATGGTGTTAAACAGCACCTTGGGGTTACCTTTGCTCTGGGACACCAGGTTGGAGAAATAGGAAACCCTAGCGTCTCTGACTGCAAAGTTAAAGGATGTCAGAAGATCCTTTAGGTGCAGCAGATGGACGTGGAGATGGGTTTTCTTCCACAAACGCTCAATTTTTCTGCATTGGCGCTTCAGGCTGCGAAGGCTGTCATTAAACCAGGGAGTAGGGTTCACTGCAGGAACTGATCTGGTTCTGACAGGACAGATGTTGTCCAGAATGGAGAGGCAGTGCTCGTTAAACTGAGAAGTTAAGGAATCTGGGTCGTTATCAGAAGAACAGGGTGGATCAAAGGCAGCAGAAAAATTGTTAGCTGTGCTCTCATTAAGAAAACGAGAACTAACCACACGGCGAGCAGGAGGTGGGGATGCAGAAACTGACAAGTTAAAGAAAATGCAATGGTGATCTGAAATATAAACGTCCTCAGGACAAACACTGTCAGCATTTAGACTCAGGGTAAAAACAAGGTCTAGAGTGTGTCCCCTGGTGTGTGTGGGGCCAGAAACATGCTGGGTAAAGCTGAAGGAGTTCATGAGGCTGGGAGGGAATGTGTGACTGTATATATCAGGTCTTGAACTCCTCCCTTCTCCTGGGACATTTTGTGGTGCTGCAACATCTTCACCTACCCTCTCCTTGTCACTTTTTCTGGGTGGTGCCTTGGTCTGCCTGCATATCTGCAGCTCCCATGTCAGGGGGTCAAAGTTTTTGGTATCTGTCTGGTCGCTCCCAGTGGCTGCCTGGTGGGGTTTGGATCCCAGGGGTTGGTCACCCTTGGGTCTCGGGCCACTGTGATCCGAGCTTGACTAGATCAGGGATGGGCGGACCTGTGGGCAGGCCTCAGAAATGCGTCCTCTTCCTAAGTAGGGCCACACGCACATGCCTTTTTTTTACTGTTGGTAGCAGGTGTTTTTCTTGGAATGCTGTGTTCTTTATCCTCCATGCATAATGCTTCTTGTTATGCCCAAATAACTACATTTAGTTTCATCAGTCCACAGCAGCGTATTCCAAAATAAAGCCGGCTTGTCCAAATGTGCTTTAGCAAACCTCGAGCAGCTCTGTTTGTGCTATGGGCGGGAAAAAAGCTTCCTCTGCATCACTCTCTCACACAGCATCTCCTTGTGTAAAGTGCACCCAATAGTCCAACGATGCACAGTGACTCCATCTGCAGCAAGATGATGTTGTAGGTCTTTGTCTGACTCCGACTGTTCTCACCATTCTTCACTTCTGTTTGTCCAAGACTTTTCTGGGTATGCCACTTGGAGCCTTAACTTGAACTGTGCCTGTGGTCTTCCATTTCCTCTATATGTTCCTAACAGTGGAAACAGACAGCTGAACTCTCTGAGACACCTATCCTTCCCCTAAACCATGATGGTGAACAGTCTTTCTTTTCAGGTCATGTGAGAGTTGTTTTGAGACCCCCGTGTTGCTGCTCTTCAGATAATATTCAAAGAGGGGGGAAACTTACAATTGGCCCCTTTAAATGGTCTTATAGGGGTTTCACATCTGAAACCACTCGGCCCAGTCCGGCCCGCATTGCATATATTGTTTTCATACCAGGGTGGCCTGGTGCTTTTCCCTTACCTACCGGGCAGTTTTTCGGCGCTTATCCTCAGGTGGTATGCTCAGGGCCGGCCTGGGCCAACACGCCCACTACGACTGATTGGCTGGCTCAAATATACACCTACTGTTAGGAGGAGCCTTTGATTGGAGGATAGAATGTACCAACAGGGGTTTCCTACATGCACGATTCATTATCATTCTGGATGCTGAGAAGTACATGTCACCTCTGACTGATGATGCCGCAGCTGTCTGTCTCTATCTCACTAGTGTGAGGAGCACACACAAACACTTGGCTGCCTTTTAGGGAGAAACCACAGACTTTTCCACGCGTCCTAGCACCGCCACGTATTAAGTATTTAATGGAAACATTTTAAGTGTTTTTTAGTTTGATCCAGTGTAGCCAAGTGGGTGGTGAGTTGTTCTGTTCTGTATTTGTTCAGTTTTACAAAAATACTGTGGGGAAAATAATAAACAGAATTTATATAAAAAAAATGAGCGTTGTTCAGAAAATGTGATGTAAGAAATTTATCACACAAAGATGACAAATTATATTTTTCAGTCTCAGACACATTAGAAACCTTGTTGATAAAAGAATAATTGAATCTTGAATGAGGGCTTTTGAATGAGCTCATCTGCTTAGCACACCACCACCACCTAAATTAGCAGGAGAAGGAGAATGTTTAGTGGTGGCAGAACAGTGCCAGCTGATGGCCACCTCTACTAAGGTATCTCATTCCCACAGAACACCAGAATTATTATATCTTCTCTGTAGACTCATGGGAACATGTACTCCCCTTAGGGGTAAACTTGACCATCTTGAGCTAAAGTTCTTTGTTACTGTCTAATCCGTCTGATCAGGTTAGTGGGCCATACCAACTCAACTGTAGTCTGCTTTCACACGTGTAACTATACAAGTCAACTAGAGTTCAGCAATCAATCCTTATTTAAACATAACAGTTTTTTCTAAGGTGTGTGTGTGTGTGTGTGTGTGTGTGTGTGTGTGTGTGTGTGTGTGTGTGTGTGTGTGTGTGTGTGTGTGTGTGTGTGTGTGTGTGTGTGTGTTAATTGGGCACATTTCTGTCATGAACTGAACTAGAAGGACCCGTGATGACACCACACACAGTAAAGCACCTTTAAAAGTCGTTATTAAACGTGGCGTTACCCGAGGAGGGCGAGGCAGGAGACAGAGTCGGAGAGGAGGTGTGGGTCAAAAACCAGAACGAGGCGACGCAGGTAAATGGAGCAGGCTAGGGAAGAGTTCAAAGACAGGCGAGGGTCGTGATGGCAGGCAGAGTCCTAGGCAGGGGTCAGGAGTGAAAACGAGGTCCGGAGGCTGTGATCAGGCAAGGTGAAAGGCTGGAAGATCTACTGGCAAAGAGCATTCAGTAATCTGGCAGGGAACTGGTGGCTGGCTGGTGAATATATAGCAGTGGGAGCAGGTGAGCAGTGTGAGGTGATTGCGTGGAGCAGGGGAAGGATATGAGGGTGCTGATGACAGGGTGCAGGTGATGGGAATTAAGTGGCTGAGGGCTAGAATGAGGAGGCAGCAGAGACAGAGGGTGTAAGCCTGGGAGTCATGACACATTTCTACATTGCAGGGGCATTTTGCTGATCCACAACAGAGCACCCCAAAACTTGGTTTTAGAGGTTTGGTGTAAATTAGCTTTTATTTTAGGTTGAGGTTAGGAATAGAACCCTATTGTTAGGGTTATGGTATGGGTTAGGCATAGTGGAGTCACTAAAATGAATGGAAGTCAATAAAAGCACATTTGTGTGTTTTTGGGGCGGGGGGGCAGTCTGGGTGTTCTGCCTAAGACCTCATTGTTTTTGATGTTATGTCTCACAGTGATTAAACTCTTGTGTTCACAGAGGCCTGGGGCGATGCAGTGTGTGAGACTAATGCAGGAACCCAGCTTCGCGTGCCTCAGGTATCTGTTGTCCTGTGACAGCCACTCTCAGCTCTTCCTGTCCCAGCTGCAGGGATCCAGCGCTGTGTTTTGGCATGGAAACAACGAGGACAGGTTGGTTTCAGTGCAATAGTCCTGCTGTTTAATCATCATTTGATGTGTCACACCTGTAAGGTGAATGGATTATCTCAACAAGTGATCATTAACCCAGATACAACCCATGGGTTTGCTAACAGAAACCACACCAACAGTCCTCATACACACCTGGACCAGGTGAAACCTGCGTAACAATGCTGGTGGATTTTAGTCATAAACCATAAAAGGGAAACAGGTAGTATGTCTACTCCAGGTCATCTTGGGCTCTTGTTCACAAATCCACCTATCAATCTCAATAGGTGGATTAGGGGAGTTTTCATGCCAAACACATATTTTACATCCAACTCTTCAGCTACTTGTCCTCTCTCTCAAAATGCCAAAATATCACAGATCTGATGTAGTTTTTAAGATGTTTTAGTCTTTTTGGCACAACTCTGCCTCTCAACACGTATCTACGTATAGCTAGCCAGCTAACAAACGACTAAAACAAAAACAAGAATCTTCACCCAAGGCTAGCTTTTCTTATCTAAAGATCTTAATAAATGTTTTATTACCATAAACTGAGTTCTTCTAGCAGTAATCTGAAATTAAATTCTCTAAATAGCATGCTGAACTTTAGCTTACCTGTCAAGCAGAGAACTGGCGACAAAGGCGTCTGTGGGAAGCCCAACCTTCGTGAAAACTACCCAGCGATAGGCACGTACGATCACCACAAACAACAAGCTCTGCTCAGGTCGTGCTGTAACTATAGCAACCTGTTTCCTGCACCCTTGCTGTTTGAAGGGCTGTTTTCGCTATTCTGCTGTAGCGGAGGCAAATTGATGATTTTTATTTGTTACGGCCAGGAAGATGTAGTATTCTATATAAATATAAAATATGAAGCTGCTAGGTCTTCATTGTAATTATTCAGAAGATTCCAGGATTTAATTCAGAAGATCTAGGTTCTTTGCTTTTTCAGTGATCAACAACACTTCGTGTTACTTCAAGAAAGAGTCGGGTTTATAAAAGTGACAATTTATTTTACTAACAATTAAAACATGACTAATTAACTAAGCATTTACTGTGAGTGGATGTAACTAAACGTGATGAAGGAACCTACGTGTGAATGTGATGTCAGTCAGAGCTTCCTTATCAAAGTAAGCCGAGTTCTGGTGAAAAGAGTTTGGTTTGCTCTGAGCTATAAAGTTCTTATCATCAGAAGAACATCAGGTGCGATCTGTCTTGTCTATTTCACCCGTTTTGAGAGACCCTCTTGGTGGATCCGAAAGTCGCAGGGGTCGGCTGACCTCTGGCACCGGAGGGCTGTAGAATACCATGGTACCGACTCTTCAGTCCAGAGATGTCTCGGATCACAACAGCTGGATGGAACCGTGCGTCTGGCAGACTCTTAAGGAGTCTAACAATGTCAGCTTTGTTTCTGCAGGAACTGTTTCTCATCAGCTTTGCAGGTGCAAAAAGGTTTTGACGACGTGTCAAAATCTTTGATGGTTAAAGGTGTTTACTGCAGATGGCCGGCCTGAAGCAATTCTCTAGAACTGTCGAGTCACTCAGGATGATCCAGTTTTAAGGTTTTGATGTTATGACTTGCACAGCCAATCAGAGGCTGACAGGTTTGAGAGATGTTACCAAGACAACTCAGAAACACGCCTTCTTGATACAGGATGATCTGACTGGTTTAAAAGTCTCTATGTGTTGGAGTTTAACTTAACCATACCTGTTATTGTGTGAGTGCAGGTGTGAGGACGTCGTCGTCTAAACATGTTTAACACAGGGCAGGTTCTAGTAGACATCATAACATAACATAACATAACATCCATTCAGTGAGCACAGATTAGTGAAGCATTTCATTATACTATAATTATTATGAGTAGTAATAAACAAATGTTTATTTAATGATTATCTAGATTATAAGTCATGGAAGAAGTTCATATTGATTTAGGAAATCATTCTTGATTTTAGCAACTGATTTTGAGCTGGAGTTGTTCCTTGTGTGGAGGCAGACAGATAGGACCTTGGGAAAGAAAGTTATTGTTTATCTTTCAGACTTGCAGAGTCTGTGAGCTGTGAGTTGTCTCCTTTCTGACCAGATGTTGAAAGGTCAGACTGTACCTAAACTGACCACTGCTGGACGTTACACTGCAAACGTCTGCAAAGTATCACAAGTCGCACTTCTTGCAAAGCAAATATCATTAACATACACAGTGAGCAATAAAAATCATTCACAAATGCTCCTTAGACTTGAATAATAACTTCCACATTGTATATGAAGATGAAATGATTGAGAAACACACTTTAAACTGAAAGTACAATACACCAAAAATTATATTCTTCATTATATAAATTAGGAAATTGAAAAAAGGTGAATGAAAAACATATTTTCTGAGCAAGCTTTTCTATTAACGTACAAGGTGGAGCCCTTCCACCACAAACCTGCTCGTCACCACCAGAGCGACACGCCATGGACCTTCTGATAGTTCCACCATTGAACGCTGTTCATTCTCTGGGTTTCAGAGCTTTCTCCTTCAGTAAGTTGATGAAATTACAACATTTTGGCATTGTGAAGCGTTAACTCACTACTGCGAACCAAAACAAGTCAATAGTGATTTTTCTTGTAGCCAGTTTTAGTTAAATTATCAAGTTAACCAGCTGGTTGTAGTTTTACCTGCAGTTAGCTTATTGTTAGCCTGTTTTAGAGGGTTAAACGGCCTTATTTCTGTCTGATTTTAACTCATTCAGCAGTTTTACATATTTGTGTTTAGAGTCGTGTAAATTACTCAAAATAAATGATATTAAGACACAATAATGTCCGAGTGTAAAGATCAGAGTGGTAGAGGACCAACGTTTTTAACTTCCGTTGTCCCTGCAGCTCTGTAACTCGCTCTACCTCCAGTTACTAAACCATCTCAACTAGAGAGAAGCTGTTTCTAGTGAGACGCCGTTGCTAGTTTAGTTAGAGATGTGGGTCATTTACCAGACAGCAGCATCTGGGACATCATCAGTAAAATGTGATTATTTCATATTTTCCACTTAAACCACCTGATGCTGACTTCTATAACCTGCTGAAGCCCGTTACACACTCAGGATCGCCATGGTAACACCATGTGTCCTCCAGAACAACCAGAGCTGGACCGGGACGTCTGAACATCAGAACCTTTACAGAGTCTGTATTTACTGCAGAACTGTTCATCTGCATCTGTTTCATAGCAGTAATCCATCATCTGAGCTCAAACTGGGATTACAATCTTTACTTGAACAAGAAATTAAGATTAATTAATGATACATTATGAGCATAACTGTCACGATGGGGAGCCAAGAGGAGGTTAGGACCCAAAGATGCAGAGAACCAGATGACACTGAGTGGAGCAATAACGTAAAATCCTTTATTTAAAAATAAATCCAAAAAGGCGAGGAGCCAAAAAACAAAAATCTAAGTTCTAAATAACAAAACCTAGAATCCAAAAACGAAGATCCAAATCTAGAGAGGGGAACGAGACAAAGGTGACAAAAGACAATGACCCAACAACAGACAGGGACAAAGACAGGGTTATATACACTGGGGCATGATGGGAGGCAGATAGGCTGCAGGTGTGTGGGGAGAGAAACCAAGTGAAAGCAATTAACTAATCAGGGAGGAAACTAACATGACCTAAGAGTAAAAACCTAAAAACAAGAAGAGCAGCAACAATAACTAATATTCTAAAGGGAAGGAAAACTACAAAAACCAGTGGGAAAACACACTAAAGAGACTACTAAAATGAAAAGCTGAACCTATAAAAACTGCAGAGGGGTGACTGGGGGAGGCCGAAGGAACACAGGACCTGGGAGGGAATATCTGGAGGGCTGCAGACCAGAGGACACATGAGGAACACAAAGAGACACATAAGGGGATCCTTATAGGGGGATGGAGCACACAAGGAGACACATGAGGGAGACGCAGACCATGACAATAACCTTCTCAGTGGAAGAGTGTCCACCCTGAGACTGGGAGTTTGGGGTTCGAATCCCGGTCAGGTCATACCAAAGACCTTAACAATGGGACCCAATGCCTCTTTGCTTCCCACTCATTTTTAAGGAGTTGAGGGTTAAACCATCAAATACTTCCCGAGCACGGCCACAGCTGCAGCCCACCACTCCCCGTGGGGATGGGTCAGATGCAGAGATGAATTTCACCAGTGTGTGACCAATTAATGGGGCTCTAACTTATCACAGGTTTCTGTTATTATGATCTCTGGCTTTTAATAAATATATATATGTTTGGTTATTTGATTTTGAACAACTCACCCACACTTAATGTGTCATCTACTACGTTTAACCAGAAACGGTTTTATTTAAATGAACACTCTCATAAATGAGTTACTGTTTTCCACTAGTTGTTAGGCTGGAAGCTCAATCAGCAGGTTAGAGATGCATCTACAGCCACATGTTTTCCTCCTAGCCATTAAAAGGTGTTTAAATGAATTCAGATCAGCTGACGTTCCGTCTGACAGCAGCAGAGAGAACAGACTGAAGATAAATCCTGCAGTAACATCTCCTGCTTTGTAGAGCTGAAGCTAAGCAGGAGCAGAGCTCTGAACCTCTGGCATGTTTAAGTCTATATCAGGACAAAAGTATAGCATCTATGCTAGCATGTAGAGAACAGAAGCTCTCAACTTATAAACCACATCCTTACATTGATGAGTGTTTTATATACACACTTATTTTACCTACATGTGTGCTCCGTTCTGTTTGCAGTCTGGCTGCTCTTTGATGTATAAAACTGATAAATGTCGGTCATGCTGCTCCAAAAGTTCAACGCTTTGATAAAATACATAATCAGTGCAATAATCAATACACATTATTGGTCAATAATCACCAAAAAATCACAGTAGAAATGAGAAAAGGATTGTTTTAGCGTTCATTCCAACCAGAAGCCGCTCATATTGGAGGATCTTTTGTGATGTCAGTGTTTGCTTCTTGCATTGCATCATGGTAGCGTGTGGCAAGAAACCATGCATTTTGCCTAATTCAGTGGTTTTGTA